TTCAGCAGTATTGGGAGGGGTTATAGGGGTCCTGGCAGGGCTGGAGGACCCAGGACTCAGCAGGGCTGGGGGTCCCCGACCTTGGCAGGGCCAGGGGCTCTGGGCCTGGAGGGATTTTAGGAGTCCACAAGCAGGGCTGGGGGTCCTGGGGCTCAGCGATGCTGGGGGGGTCCCAGCAGAGCTGCAGGTCCCAGGCCCTTGTGGTCTGGGGGAGGGGGGATCTGGACTCTGCAGATATGGGAGGGCTCTGTACAGAACAGGCGCTCGCAGGATGGAAATGGGGCTGGGGCACTGGGAACAGCAAAGGGGACTAGGATGGGAGGGGGCTGCCGTGGGGTCCCCCTCCCTCCATGCAGTCCCCGGGGGTTATGGTCCCCTCCTGGAGGGTTAATCCCATTTTCTTTCAGGGATGTGGCAGGGCCACTCCAGCAGGTGCTGATCCTCCCCGCTCACCCGCAGCAGAGGGTATGTGGGGCTCTCAGGCTGTGTCTCCCCAAAACAGCGGAAACCAACGGCAGGTTGCACCATTTCCTCGTGCTGCGGCGCCAGCGATTGCCAGCCTGGGTGGGGAGGATGCGCTTCATTATTTCTCCTTGTTTTCGCTGCACTGCCTTCCCCTAGGTGTGACAGTGGGGTTTTGCCCTATTTTCGGCTCAGGATAGGGTGCATGGTTCAGGCACAGCTTCTCTGCGGGGCTCAGCCCCCTGACAGCTCCTGAACCATTCCTCCATGCTGCCCCCACCCATGGAGAGGAAATGTTCCAAAATCTCAAACTTCCCAATGGCTGCAACTCCGCGAAGCCCTAACAAGGCGCCACTGTGCCTGTTCAGGCGGGTGTTTGTCTGGTCGCCGCGATGAACAGTTGGAGAGGCCCCGCCTGATAATGCACCAAGTGTTTGAGACCTCGTTTCAGCCGCTTTCTCATGCAGGCTCCTGCGTGAAGAGCCTCTTTTTCCCCCAGTGCAAGGCAATGGGCCAGATCTGGACGCAGGCCATGAGGTTGCCTCCTTATGGAGCATCCCAGCCCAAGCCGTGTCCCTCAGGATCCCCCAAATGCTCCAGCTCCTAGGGAAGCGCTGCAGCATCCTCTGCCATGCCCCGGGACGGTGTTTTCCTCACATCACCATGCTGGCATGGCCGAACTGCAGGTCTATTTAGGACAGTAGGACCCTGTATCCTCCAGTGTCTGAGCGGGAAGAAGGAGGCAGAAATAGCCAGGTGGAAAGCAGAGCACCAAGGGACGCAGCCAGGCACAAATGATCAGCGCACACCAAAAGGGAGGGAAAAGAAAAAAAATCACTCCTATACAAATGCCGAAAGGAATGTTAATCCTGGGGAGAGGAGGGCGAGGACTGCTGCATGTCTCCTAGGCGAGGAGGTCCAGCCCAGCTATGCGCAAAAAGGGGCATTTGGTGCCGAGCTGCGGCCCGACCAGGGTGGACATGCAGGTCGGAGCACCAGGAGTTGGGGATTTCCTTGGTGCCTGCTCCCCCAGCTCTGGCCATGTGGCACGGTGCACCCAGGGCAAAAAAAAGAGATTTTTACCCAGTCCCATGAATGCAGCTTCATGCCCAAACGGCTGCAGGTTCA